TCAAAATCCCCGTCTAGGCGAGAATTCATGCTAACACAGTCAGTTATGTCTTGAATGTATGTAAACAGCTGAGAAAGAAAACACGTGTGTATCAGTATATTGGATCCATGCATTCGGATTAGACATTCGGACACAGTCTAATATACCATTGTTCATTAGACAATAAAAGAAAAAGAGAAAATTCATTAAGCATTCCATAAAAAATGGATAGGGTGATGTCTTAAATCTCACTTGTTGCCTCGCTGCCCTCAGGCAATGACTTTGCAGGCAGCGTCTGTGCATGAATGTACCTCACAAAACTGATTTCAGACAGACTTCTGAGGCAGCATAACCTCAGATAATGATCTACAGCAAAATACAGAGAGCTTTGGTGAAAACTATAAGCAAATATTTAATTTCTCAAAATCAAAAGTGGAAAAAGTTGGTCAAAAAAGTACATTTACACACAAACTGAACACCAACCAAAACTTTCAGATGTCATATTTATTTGTTACCTCAACTGTCACACAATGGAACGTACTGGATTGTGGGATATCAAAGGCAGTGATTCACGAATCGGTCAGATGAAGGTTTCTCAGGAGACCAGAAGTGAAGCTAACTATGGATTCTGACGTGTCTTGATTCCTACTGTTGTAATTCCTGTCTTGTGTTCCCCTTGTCTTGTGTGGACTTTTGTTATTTCCGGGTCTGTGCCATGTTTTGTAGTCCTTTGTAGTTTTTCTTGTTTATTAGTCTTCCCAGGTGTTTCTGATTAGGAGCGTGATTACGGACTCCATTTCCCATCATGCATCTCCCTGGACTGATTACACCATACACCTGCACCTCATGTTCAAACAGTCATTTAAAGGGGCATTCGGTAACTCTAGCCACTTATTCGCTGATTTTCACTTTTCTTGTCGCATGTTTTCTCAACGAGCTCCCCCTACAGCTGTGGTGTGAATATTTCACAACACTGTCGTAAATTCACTTGCGGCGCCCTACTCCCCTTTCTACCGTAGACGCGCTCATGTGCTTTTGTTATTGTCGGATCCGGTGTGTTGAACAAATGAGTCCCAGACACTCACAACTTTATCGTGTGGAGCTATGTCTACCGAGATGGAGGTGTGTGTGTTTCTAATTGCTGTAAAGCAGTTCGTGTTACTCGCTCGTTCTCGCTTCTCACGAGACTTCCTATTTCCAACTTACCGGGACGGTAGTCCCTATGTTGCAAGGCTGGTTTTCCGCCTGGGAACCCTGGGGGGAGCGGGGAAAGTCACCATTCTCACCAAAACAGGTTATTTAAACATCCAAATGATTTCTAAATGGATTTGTGGGCTCTATGCACGGCGGTATTTCCGGTGAAGGTCTAAGGATGCTGGATTACTTCCGCCGATCGTAGAGTCCAATGCTATACCGAGAATTTATATTGGTTTTTATACTCAATTGCTATACTAAAGAAACGTTAGTCACAAAAACAGACAAAACAGACACCCCTCATTTTGTTTATGCTTCTGTGTTTATTATATTAAATAAACATAACTATATATAAAATTACATCTTAACGTATTAAAGTTTCGTTTCAAAGACGAGGACAGTACATTTTGAAGACTCTGCCATAATACCGTTTTCCTCGGTTTTCCTCCGCTTTAAATCTCCCCAACCGGAAACGCAAGAGCATCCTTACGTCAAACGGGGAAGTTATGCGTGCATCTAGCCCATTAAGTTGAAAAAGTTGCCAAGTGCTGCTTTAAGCCACACTCACACAACACTCTGGACTAAGTCTAGTTTAGCTGCTGCGAACATTTCCAATTGTTTTTCCATGTGTTTACCTGGCTGTTGTGACCTTGTCTGTTCCTGATCTTCTGCCTGTGTCCTGTTTGTTTGCTGCCTTCCCTGATATCCTGCATGTTTATTGCCCACGATTTTGCCTGATCTTCTCTGCTGTGTTTGGTGGTGTATGACCCTTGCCTGGTAATTACTCTGTTTAATAAACACAAGCTGCACTTGGATCTGAATGACTCCTATGCTTCGTAACCTTACCGTGGAATGCAGCCTCTTAAGGCAACATTTTTAAGCTTTCGGAGGAAGCCAAGATGTTTTAATTACACTAGAAACTGCTTAGATTATATTCAGCGGATCGAAGATAGAAAACACCGTATCGTAAAACAATGTTAAGTTTATTAATACTTTTAGATTTAAAGCTGCAGTAGGGAGTTATGAGAAAACGTTGACTTAGCCTGAAAATTTGAACAAGCACAACTTACAGGTCCCACCCCCTTGCTCTTGTCGTGAACGCGCAGGCTAGTAAACAGGGCCACCGATAACAGCGGATAAAAAGTTATATGGCACATTCACTAATAGGGACTAAACGTCAATAATATGCTTTACATTGACTATGGCCTGCCCATACTTTGACTACAAACTTGGTCCTCAAATCATTATGTATTTTGCAATAGCCTACATGTAACTTTATAACGTTGCACTCTTTCTATAAGATATAAATAGCTAGTAAGATAACGGTAACTAACGTTACAGTATGTAAGTATTTATTCTAGCGATATATAATGCTAGATAAGGTGTGCTAGTACATTATTTCAGCAACATGACAAGCCAGTGAATTAGCAGGTTTCAATTGTTGCTTAGCAGAGTGCGTGACATTTTATCTACATGTTATGCGGCTAGAGTTTTGACACCGAATCAATGGGCTCTGTGTAATTCTTTCTTTTTCGCTTGTTTATTGTCATCAGTCTTTTTCCTTTTACCTCTTTGTTTTATCAGCAGGTGTCACTCGAGAATTGGCAGTTTAGGTTGTTTCTCCGTCATAAGCACAGCTGCAGCACGCCGGCAATCTTGAGTTTGAACGACGGCTCGCGCTCCGGCGCTCGCGCTGTGCAAGAGAGGGGTGTGATCAGAGCGTACACGAGCGTGACTGACACTGCTAAGACACTCCTCCTCGCTCTGATTGGTTGTTTCTGACCGGGAGCGTGTATTTCTTGCAAATGGGAATAGGACCACTAGGAGGAGCCAGAGGAGCTTGATTTTTACACAGATTATCTGTCTCATATTCTACTGTCAGGACATAATGACAGTTTTAGCAAATACAGTTTTTCAAAAGTTACCTATAGCAGCTTTAAGCAATCTCGAATAAAGATACGACATAAGTTATTGTCTGTTTGTTTTTTTCTCCATCTTTTATTAAGGAATCCAAAAATTCCCATAATTTCCCTATTAAAATGTGCTTGTTAAAAAGTGACTGACGAAAATATAAACAAACATTTAACTTCGGAAAAACTGAAGGCAAAAGCAGTTTTGTTTTAATTGAAGGTTTATTTGTTGCCAACAATACATCTTCGACCAGTTACTACAAGGCAGTTATAAAAACAAAACAAATGTCAAAAAAATTAAATTAAGATCATGAAAATAGGCAAATGGCAACATTCATAAATATGTACATCTTTACAAACAGAATGTTTAAAAGGAGGAAAAGTGCAAAAGTAACAATTCCAATGAATAACAGTCCCCACCAGTGAAACGGGAAATTAAATGTACAGCTAAATAAAATAGAAGAAAAAAAAACTATATAAACATACTTCATTCAAAGCTTCCATCTATATTCAATTCAGTTTATTTACACTGGTACTTTCATTTACATCATTTACTCCTGGTTCTAGGTTTCTTATTTCAATGTAACATTTTGTAAGGTAACATCTTTGAACAATGCTCATACAACAACAGAGCTACACGTTATAAACTTTTTTCCCAAAACCATACCAGCTGAACAACCAGTCGACAACGGAGAGGGGGGAATAAATAAATAAGAAAAATAAACTGAAATGTGCTGTGAAATTTAATAATAAAAATATCTAAATCTTTGGGATGACAGACAGTTTGTAGTTTGAGTGTGGAGGTGGGGACAGCCAATGCTGAATATTTTAAACACTAAACACAATTAAATGATCAGACAACACAAGTATTGAACTCAAATTTACATCAAATTACAGTACGTTTCTGACACCTCAAACTCCTCATTCTCCAACATGGTCCCCTGAACAGATTAACCTAAAATTAACACACTATACATTTTATTGTCCTGTGGTTTTTTGCCGATTACATCTTCTAGTTGTGGTCCTGACATGATGCTAAATTAAATTAAATCTAAAAACAGTATCGCAATTTTACTCCATAGTTACTGATACTTTACTAATTTCTGAGGCATGGTTGATTGTAACTAGGATTTTAGCAAAACTTGATCACCTTTTAAATATACTTATGACTTTCCAGTCTGATAAATCTATATCTATATCTAATGTACAGCATAGTAAAATATATATGGATTCTATGTATTCTTGACCTGGAGAAAATGTGGCATGCAAATATTACAAATTACACACTGAATGGTCATTGGCTGATGTTAGCATAGTTTCCTGTAGATGCGGCCACCTACACAACCATATTTACTAACGTCTACACAATTAAAAGGAAATATTTAATTATCGGCTTAAGGAACTGTCAGCATGTTTACACAGAAATGATGGCAGATAATGTAATTAACATCACCAGGCATGTGCGCCTTATGTGGCTTATCTTAAAGCTTGTATAGTAACATTTATATACATGTACTAGAATATTATAACCAGAAGTTTGAGATGAGAATATTGTAACATTTTAAGAGAGAAATAAGTTTAAGTTGTGTCTATGATTCAAGTCCATGTAGCCAGTGTTCTTCTTTCATTTTCTTTCTTTTCTGAATTACAGTTCCCTTTGAAACTTTGTAAAACTTAGGTCATGGTACAGATCACGAATCTTAGTCATGTGACATAATTATTGGGTCTTAATATTAAGGAAAAGAAATATATAATTTGAAAGATGTTGTGTACAGTGTGACTGCTTAGATCTGTATCTTAGTGTGTTCAAGTGTAGAGATGAGCAAAGTAATGCTTTAATCCATAGTTTTCAAATTGAATGGTGTTGTTGAGTTCACTGAGCTCTGTAAAGTACAATGGATTACAGTTAATATGTGCTTTGTGTTGTGTCTTTAAGTTGTGTATCATGTTCCATGTAGATGTTTTAAGCTTGTTGTGTCTCATTTCCTCCTTGTATGTGCTAAGCATGTAACATGTAGTCCATCATTACTGCTTCCTATGCAAAACTGCTTGAGCTGAGACACTGGATCTTTTCCCTCAGTGACTGGACAATAGTTGGCTGATTTACACCTTGCTGGCTGCAATCTGGATCATCCCACAAGTATCCCTGCAGAGTCATGTCAGGGTTAGTGGAAACCTGCTGTTCATTTACGAGGGTGCCTTGAGGTGGGCTGCTGTACTTTACTGCGGTTTCCGACAGACTGTGTGGCTGAGCTATTTTTTGCTTCTGTTCTTCATCCTCGTCTTCTGAACGGATCTCTACATAATCGTCATCATCATCTCCAGTGTCTTTAAAGTTGGCCAGGTAATTCTCCGTGGCACTTTGCGCATTCAGTGGCACATTTCTGTTCAGCACAAGTATTTGCTGTGAGTCCCGCAGTGTGATATCACATGACACTGAGAGGTCTGAAGTTTCCTGGACTGGGCATTCTGGGAGGCTGTGCTGTCGAGGCATCTGCGTCCTTGATTCTTTTCCGTTCACTTCCCACACCTCATTGCATAGCCCCCTGCCATTTTCTTTTCCAGTCTGGTCTATCAATGAAGATGAGGACTGGCAGCGATTATAGGACGACACCTTGGTGTTTCGTGGTCCAATTGAAGTGTAAATGTGATCGGAGTCATCTTTACTTGGTGTCACACAAGCACTCCAACGCTGATTGGGTGGAGTACTAGGAGTAGGCGGGAGGTTCTTCAAAGCAGGGGTAGAAATTGCAGGGGTCATTCCTCTCTGTGGGGTTGAAGTGCATACTGCTGTTTGTGCTGGCCAGGACACAAAATCAGCAAGTTCCCCATTACTGTACGTACAGTTCAGCCAGTCAGACTCTTGTGTAGAGCGCGTAGATAAGGAAGGAGAGGAAGTGGTGCTGGGGAAAAGTGGATGATGGCCGGCAATACTGATCGATGACTTCAGCACTGGAGTAGTGGCTGGAGAACCCTTAAAAACCACATGTTCATACAAATGAGAGTACTCTGCTATTCTTGCACCTAAGCAGAAGAAAGACAGATGCATTCATAAACTAATATACCACATTGTTCAATCTTTGCATCAATGAGTAACACAATGTAGAACAAAGAAAGAATAACATCAGCCATAAAGTACAGTATGTCTTACCGATTGCAGTGCCGCCTTGCTTCTTCTCCTCCAGTATAGCTGCCAGGTCCTTCTGTTTGCTTAGCCTTAGCTTAGCGCAACTGGGTTCATGGTCCATGCTCTTCATCTTCAGTAACTGGTTGGCCTTTTTGATCTTCTGACTGTACTGTCTAGCCATGAGGAACACTCTGTTTTTGCCCCTATCCCCAAGCTCAAGAACCTGGTCCCCAGCTTCCCCACCCAGCAGCAGACTAGAGGAGCCAGAGTCCATGCTACTAAACATGGCATGAAGTCCTGAGTCCTTCGATGAAGGGATGTCCTCATCGTCTATCCGGAAGCTTCCGCTGCTTAATCTGGCAAGTTTATTGCGAATGCTCTTCACTGTGCCAGGTTGAGGCTCAGGGGTAGGGGGCGGGGGCAGAGGAAGGGAAGGGGCTACAGGAGAAGATAATGCTCCATCATTCTCACCCAACACAGTTTCTGGGAGGAGGTCTGGAGTGTTGAGGATAGGTATAGACATAGATAGACATGGAGGGGGATTAGAGGCTGGTGGGTTGGGTGATCCGGGTGCAGCACAAACAACAGGGATTGTTTTTAAGGGTAATTTACTTGAAGAATCACTTGACTTTTGTGCAGAATTAGCTTTCTTATTTGGAGATTCTTGTGCTTTGCATTGGGGATCATTACTTCTCTGTTGCAACCTGGTCACTTTACTTGGGGAGTTATGTGTTTTTCTTGGAGAGTCTTTTGCTTTGTGTGAGGAATTACGTGCTTTTTTGGGAGAGTCCTGTGTTTTACATGTGTTGTCTGTTCTGCTTACAGGAAATGCAGCTGGAAGTCTGTCTGGTTTCTTTTCATTGTTCCGGATGTAGTTTTCCAAATCCGTCCAGATCTCATCCACTTTCTCCAATGTATGATCAGCTGTGGAAAGCTGAGATGTTTCAGTGTCTGAAATTGCAGCAGAGGGAATGTGGGGCTGATCTGCCTCTGTTGTGTTGGTAGGACAGATTCTTTCCTCAGATACAAACCCTGTTAAAATCTGGCTAGTCATGAGATCTACCTCAGATGTCTGCAAACTGTCTGGCTTTCCATCATCCATCTCAGCTGCAAGGACTGGGGGCTCCTGAAAGACAATGGTGTCGTAGACATTCTCTTCATCCTCAACAATTTGCAGCTCACATGTCTCAAATGGCTCCCCTTCTTGGCCAGAAGACCTATTGGTCTCACATGAACTCTCAGTTTCAGTTGGAGTTATGATAACTTGAGGAGCTATCCTAGATTTGACCTCTGCTACCTCAGAGAGTGCATGGATAGCTTGATCCTTGCGGATAAGCCCCATGGCCTGAAGCTCCTCGTAACTAATGTTGTCATAAACATTCTCGATATCATCAATCGTTAACTGCTCGGCAGATGATGACCCTGAGATTTCATTGCTTGAAGACTCAGTCTGGTTGTTGGTCTCTTCCTCTTGTAGGGCTCGCTTGTTAGGACTTAGTTGCTCACTTTGGTTTTCTCCAACACTGCTGGCCCTGCGAAGTGTTGTTCTGCTCCTGCTTGTAGGAAGGTCTAGGCGTGATGCTTTAGTCTGTTCAACATGCCAGCTACAGGGTCTTTCTGGATGGTCAGCAGCCTCATGGTCGCTCTCAACATCATGACTGCTTGTATCATTCTCCGTTGGCAGGAACATCTGATAGATGTCTTCATCATCGTCAATTTGAAAACTCTTTTGACGAGTTGGAAACATAGCCCTCCGGACTCGATGATCTGTCCATATGTTGCGGAAAGAAGGCTGCTCTCCAGTTGCCAGCATGTTGCGTGTGTTGTATTCATTTCCGTCTGATTCAGGAGGTGCGGTCACCCGTAGGATAGGGGGGGTGATAACCTTATTTTGTAGGGACTCTTTAGCAGTCTAAACGAAAAATGAATAATAACACTTTTACCATACATTATATTAGTGCTGTTGGAACTAAAATACAATTTTTATAACGACAATTTGTTTAATTAGGTAATGAGATTAAATTTTAAAAGTATGAGAGCATTCTAAGCTCAGTATAAATGCAAGCCAACTCCATTCATTGAGACATGTTGCTCAATCTCAAAATAATTATCACAATAATTTGTGGTGTAAACTATCTCCCAGCCACATCAAGTGTCACCATGTCCTTACCTGGAGGTCTGCATGAGTAAGGTTGTGGTTTCTCCACTGGTCAATGCTGTCCACCGACACTTGCTGGTTTAGTCTTTTCCGGCTACCCTTCCCTGGCACTCTCAACTTTCCCCCAGAGCTCTGGTTGTGCAAAAGTTGTCTCTTAGAACATTATTCAAAATCATTTTTATATTTGAAAATAAGAGAGGTGTATGTCCTTGCAAAGATTGCAGGCACAATGCTAATGCGTTATCAGGACACTGCCATACAGTTGCTTGGGTGGTTTCTAGATGTATTTTGGTCTCTAGATATGCTTTTGGTCTCTTGTGCAGTGTTTCTCTTAGCAAGCACCACTAATTATCTTACAAACAATTGTACTTCAGATTTAGAACACAGGCTAGGCCAGTTAACTTAATATGGAGTCAAGTGCCTTGCACAATGGACAATGGTGGTGAGAAAGACTGAAAACTTGATTTCAGAGGCTGCATTTCTCATTATTATGTTAGCAGCTCAGATCCTACACCCTTAACCAACTAGCATGTCCTTGTTTGCTGCTATTTTAACTGACCTCTTAGTAATTATTAATCGGGTGAAAATAAAAACTTCAAATGCCAATTGAGACTAACCAAACCAGTATCATCCTCATCATCAGCATCCTGTGGATGTGGCTCTTCGTCTACATCACTGTGGTCACCAGGGTCCAGAGATTCTTGTGATTCGCTGACAAGGCTACGGGATCGGCCAATAGAGCCCAAAGTGGCCACAGGTGACAGCAGACTGACTCCAAAACTAGAACTCTGTGAGGAGCAAATACATTTACATTATTATTATTATTTTTTTTACTTGTTTAAGATTTCTCATTAGATTTGTATAATGGATTAATGCCTGCATGTTACAGTATGTGTGGTGTTCTTTACCTTCTGTATATCTGGACTAGATACTACAGCAACAGTAAGGAAGAGAGAAAGAAAAAATTCATAACACATCAAAACATAATGTTTAAATGATTAACAAATATTATTTTTCAAACAAATGACACTTACTTATATGTTTGGAGTTTTTCAATAACTTAGATAAGGGCTCTGATGATGAGACAAAAAGACAGACAGAGAAACAAAAAGAATGAGTAAAAATGATGATCAATAAAAAATTATGTTTGTTTGTTTATTTGTGCAGTGGGTCTCACCTGTCTTCCTGCGTACTCTCCGGGGCGAGGGACCCTCTTTTGTGTTCACTCTCTTGTCATCAGAGTTGTAGTTGAAACTTGGGTGGTCTGAAAAAAGTTAAGAAAAGTGTATGAAATCCAGTCATTGGAAAGACGCATAACATATCAAACACAGTGGTGTGTGGCTTTCAATTTGAAGTTTAATTAATACTTACTTGCGGTATCCATATCCAGAATGGCCTGCTTAGCCTGTGGAGAGACAGAAAGAAGTATTTATTCGTGTGTAGTATGTGTGATAGTTTTTGATGAAGTACCTTGAATTTATGCTAATTATAATTTTTAATTATACATTGATTAATTATAATACAGTTCAAGCAATGCCCAAATATTCACTAATTCAAATTAAAATGTAAAGAAATGGTGTTGACAAAATATGAGGCTGAGTGAGGGATCTGGGTGCTCTTGTGTTTGTGATTATAAACGGTTCCTTTTATTTATCTTGATATTGTAAATGGTAACACAATTAAAAATAGAGTGGGATATGTATACATTGCTGAGAAAATAATGATAATGATTATTATTAATTATTATTGATATTACTGTTATTGTAAAACTATGTTTAAACAATATGCTAGCATATGGTTATATTTTAGATATGATGTGATTATTATAGATATCGGGACATATTTTAATGTTTACGTTTAATGTTTATCATATAGCATTATAGCGATTATTGAGATAGCATAATGTAATTGTAAGAAACTATAATATCAAATAAATATTATCAAAACAAATAAATTATTATTAATTTAACTGTTAATGGCAGCGGATAATAATGGGGTAATATATGGGAAGGAATTGGGGGTGGGAGCAAATAAGTTATACTTCTTTCCACTCCCTTTCGAGCAACTATTATTATAAGTGTAAATAATATGTGTGTATATGTGTATATATTTATATCTATGTATATGGGAGATAAGCTGTGCTATGTTATTATTATTTTGTGTGTGTGTGTGTGTTAATTTATATATTATTTTATTTTATTTTATTTTGCTCGAAATAAACTTCAATCAATCAATCAATCAAAAATGTAAACGCATTATTATGCAATAAATATTTTTGATAAATTAAACAATTAAAATAACAAATATAAATAAAAAAAACATGAAAGTGTTACAGTTATTTTATTACAGTAATGAGAATTTGGGAGTATAATGAACATATCACAATGCAAAACATCTGAATGGTCCTAAAAATAAAATCTTTTCTTTTTTCTTTTGATTTTGAGGCAAAATATGATTCAGACACATTTATATGTGATTTACCCAACTAAGGGTAAATAAAAAACACATAGAAAAAAAGTTCAGGACCTTAAAATTGGTCAAATAATTTAAATGATTATAGAGTATACCTTTGAGTATACCTAAATATGAGTAAACAGAAATGTGCATCTTTTCTCTGTGAAAATGTGAATTTTTGCCAACTAAAAGTCCTCTGGGTGGCGCTACGCCTTCACTTCTGTAAGTACAGAAACTTCTGCTTCACCTTCGAAGTTCTTTCATTCTCTTTCAGATGTGAACTATTTTATCATGACGTAGTTGAGTGTGAATAGCCAGATTTGGCGACAGCTGCCTAATCACTGAGCACATTGTACAGAAGTAGAGTTGGGACAATATGTGTATGTGCATGTTCTAACCTTGGCCGGTATTTTGGCAGGATGGTTTTCAAGGATCAGTCGTTTTAGATGCAGGACCCACGTTCTCTTGTCCTGTTGAGACTTTGCCTGAAAATGGATTAGAGATATATCAGCACAATCTGCAAATTAAGATATTAAGATAATTTACTCACACACCTCTACAAAGCCACAGTCATCCCGCAATCAAAGAACATCAACACCAATCATCAAAATCAAAGCAAACACTTTCATCAACTGGGTGAACGTCAGCACAATCAGTAACTAACATACAGATGTGATCGACTGGAACCGCCAGTCACCAGTGACGCACTTGTACACAGTTCATTTCAAAAGAAAGTAAACTCTCTGATTTTTCATTACAGTAATGCGGTTGAACATAGTTTTCTCAATGTACTAATGACACAGGTGGATGGATGGATGGTTTCATAACATCTTAGGGTTAAAGCTGAACCTATGACTGGGCATGTATTAGCTGCTGAGATAACAGTGAGGCATCCAATCATTAGGAGACGAGGTGATTTACGGACGTTCTGTTGGTTCAGTACACGGCACCATATTTATGACTACTCGGCTGACGTCCAACACACAGGTCAGATGTAACAGCACTGGCTTTAGGCGAGACTCGTACCGTCACTCACACACACACACACACACTTATGTCTGCGTATATTCATACATGCTGAAGCCTGTAGGTGGGTGGGTGTGGTTTTACTAGGGTAAAGTTCAAGGCGATTGGCTATCCTTCAGAAGTCTGGCCTCATGTTAAACATTCCACTGTGTGTTTAACATAACCTGCTGATCTTCGGTTACATGGTGTGTGTGTGTGTACATGCGTGTGTATGTGTGTGTGTGTGTGTGTGTGTGTGTGCACACGTGTGTCTGTGTGTGCACGTCTGTGTGTAAATTAGAAAATTACCTGCACAGTGTGTTGAAGTTTGGGGTTCTTGTAGTGGAACACACTGAAGCTTAGCGGTTCTTTAGGAATGACTTCTACCAACATTAGGTTACAGCACTGCACAATTGTAGAGATGGGAATAAACATAGAATAGAGATTATAGTTACTTAGTGTTCCAATCATTTGATAGAACCATGAGAACTTATGCACATTTCATTTACACACTGTCAGAAAAACAAAAATGTAAAAGTGGTACCCTTAGGGTAACAACGGCTTCTCACTGGGGCGGCACCCTCGACGCAACACCTTTGTAACTTCTTCAGCCCCAAAGTGTGTATATTAATACTTTGGAGTAGTATTATATTCCTAGTAAGGTGGTAATATGTACTCTTATGGTACTACTGGTACTAAGAAACAAAGGTGTCACTTTGAGGGTACGAGCTTGGAAATTTAAATAAACCCAGTTTATTTTTTGGAGCAGGTCAAAAGTGGTAAAATGGACACCACTGTGAGTGCTATCCGGAGCTGCTTGCTGTAGTAGCAACATGCTGACATATTTGAGCCTTCGGATTTTCCACCATACTTTATATGCACAGAATGTCACTTGTCTTTGCCAAGGATACAGTGCAAGAGATGCAAAGAATGCAAGCTGAAGGTCATATTTCGGAGTCAAGCTCAACTTGTACATCATCATTCGCAGTTTACTTGAATGAATGAATGAATGAGGTATTTATATAGCACATTTCCTATACTACTGGACACCCAAAGCACTTTACAATCAGGGTTTTCCCTGTTCCATTGTGCTACACCACCACCAGTGTGCAGCACACACACACCAGATAGGTGGAGAGGAGAGAGTGATCGGGCCAATTCAGTGGATGGGGATTATTATGAGGCCATGATTGATAATGGCCAAAGGAGGGAATTTGGCCAGGACACCGGGGTCACACCCCTACTCTTTACGAAAAGTGCCATGGGATTTTTAATGACCACATTGAGTCAGGACCTCAGCATAACGTCTCATCTGAAGGATACTTAAGAGAGGTCGTTTGGATTCCTTTTTTACCAATCAGTGCAAGGGTTCATTTGCTTGGTTCATTTGAACCCAATTACACTATACCACCTTTTGAAGTGGACTCAGGGGCAGTTTGTTTGGCAACACCCAAGCCTGGAAAAACATTTTCACACCAACCAAACCTTGTCATTTCTACTGTGAAAGTGCCCTTAAGGACAATAGCTAGTCCAAGTTGGTCTAGCTTGTTAATCAGCTGGGCTACCGGCCGGTGAGGACAAGGCTGACCTGGTAGAGCACCTTGGCCAAGTATAACTACCAGCAAAAAAAAAGCTACCATGACCTAAAAAACAGCTTGACCTCCCTGGGGTATGTATATGGGCTCTCACCAGGATGTGGGCCTTGTAGGTGTAAGTCTCCTCGCGCTTCTTGGTGATCAGCAAAAGTTTGTCGAACAGGAAGAGCGTTCTCTCATTTTTCGCTCTCTGGATGCGGAATGTTCCCTCGAGAACCAGCTCGCCATAGCCAATCAGATCAGGTCCCTTCCAGTTAGTCAACAAACTCTGAATCTCCTGAGAGAGAGAGAGAGAGAGAGAGAGAGAGAGAGAGAGAGAGAGAGAGAGAGAGAGAGAGAGAGAGAGAGAGAGAGAGAGAGAGAGAGAGAGAGAGAGAGAGAGAGAGAGAGAGAGAGAGAGCAGAAGAAGAGGAGTGTTACTTTCCACGTACAGGACTTTAGCCGACAGGCAAGTTGGGAATGACGTCTATGTCTGATGAGTCTCAAACAGAATGTTTTATTATCTGTTACCACACACCCATAAAAAAGTGTGAACCCTGCAGCTAAAAACTATTTAAGGTAGCTGGTAGTAGGTTTTAACTGACCCATGCTGGTCATTTGTTGCCATTTTTTCTACTCAAGGACAGAGTCTCAATATTTGATCAACTGGACTAGTATCTGGTGACCTTGTGTGGTTCTGATATAGTAGAGTGTCCAATCCTGCCACTTTCCCACAGAGTTTAGGTCCAACCTGCTCCAGCACATCCGCCTGGAAGTTTCCTAATTTGACCTTGATTGGCTGGTTTAGGTGTGTTTAATGGAGGTTAACCCCTCAGGAAGATTGTCCTCCAGGGGTAGAGTAGGACACCCCTGTTCTACACCAGCTTGTGCAAGTACTAGTTCACACTACAGGATTATAAACCCGATTTAAGCCCGATTTGCAAATCGTTGAGCTCGCCGACAGGTCAGGGTGTTATCGCGTGCAAATAGCGGGGGATTAGCGGACGATGGACGCTCGCCAATCTGTTAGTATGAAAGAGCCAACAACGCATCAAAGACGCCTCGCAGACGCGTCGCCGAGCCCAGAAAAATATCTAGCATGCTAGATATCCAGAGCTGTCGCCCGACTCAACCTCAGTGATGTCATGAGCTACAGCCAATCAGAGCAAGGCATGGGTCTTCGTCTTCTTCGCTGGGTATTAGCGAGCGTGATGTTTCGCGTCATTTCCGGTTCGTTTTATCGCGTGATTTTTTGTGACAAAACGTGGTTTGTAGACAAGATTGAATCATTGGGTGACAGAGTTGTTGTCAACTCGTGTAGTGCGTTACCTCCTGTTGCGGATCAATCACGTTGTGTCGTGTGGTGTGAACAGCTCAACAACTTGAACACTCCTGATTTCACAGAGAGCAAGTCATGTAGTGTGAACCGGACAGTTCAGCCCGACGTTTTAAAATCATGTAGTGTGAACTAGGCTTAAATAACAGCTACCACGTTCCAAACAACTGCATGACTCCCTGTCTTTTTCCCAAATGCATCACAGGCCAACATAGATGGTACAAACTCTTGGCACCAAAGGTTTCTACGATCTACTTAGGCTTACAGTACTGTTGGAAATGCCTTGCCTTGCCTATGAGTAGGGTACACAAACCTGCAGCCTCACTGCGTGCTCGTGTTTTCTCTTCATGTCATTGATGTGCCAGGCCACCCTCTGCATGGTGTCGATTGCCTCCTGGATCACGTCGTACATCTCTGAATCCTTCTCCAGATGAGTGGCGATCTCCTGCAAGACACCAGTACATCTCTGACCTCGGATCATTGCCGTGACCATCTCTATGTGTGTGTCTTTATGTACAGGTGTACTACGGTCTTTGTGTGTGTGTACTTACATGCAGTAGTAGATGGTACTTTAGGATCCTCTGGACAGGTTTAAGCAGGTAGGAGCCGAGAGGAAGGGAGTGTTTAAGACTCTCCTGGCGCTCTCGCAGAAACTTTGCCACCGTTTTGTTCCGCATGCACTCTGTCAAGACAGCAACGGACCTGCAGATGCATACAAACACATTGCCAATGAAAATGTTTATTTATTTATATCTAGTCTCACAGACTTCAGCAGATATGCACAATATAAACAGGTCAAAGACATATTGTTGATTATATATCCCTGACAGCCAAAATATTACATATGCAATGGCCAAAATACATGTAAGTGCATTTAAAATGTCTGAATGACTTTAGATACAAAATAACTTTTGATCAACTGGTGTTTTGGTGATGTTTTTTAGTTTTTTTTTTATGTATGAAGTCAGTTCTGCTCACGTTCACACAGATGTTCTAGTAAAGTAACCATATGTGTAGGTTACGACAATAACTACGAACGGGATACATCAATTGTGTATTACTTGCCACAGCCTTGCCACTTGGTTGGATGCTATCAAATTAATTTACATTCAGCCATTTTTAAAAGTGGCTTAAAGAGATAGTTCACCCAATAATGAAAATGTGGTCAACAGTTACTCACCCTCATGTTGTTGGAAACCTGTATAAATTTATGACTTTCATTGTGCAGTTTTTTCCCCCTTATACAATAAATTCACTGTGGCCTATGTTGTTTTGGACCCCGCTGATTTTCATTTTATGGACAATAACAGTTGAATCATTCCTCAAAATATGGTTTTTTTTGTGTGTTCCATAGAAGACATTTGGGACAACATGACGGTGAGTAACTGATCACAGAAGTTTTATTTTTCTAGTCTTGGTTGATCCAAAGTGGCAAATGTACAGCATATTACTGCATAAATAAACAAACACACAGACATGCACACACACACACACACACACACAACAAAAACACATGTGTGCACGGTTGAGAGAGTAAGGTCGGGCCCTTCTGTTAAAACACAGATTTTACAGTTTATTGGGTCTGCTGCCACGCCTCACAAAGCACTGGGACAGATAGACGTGTGTGTGTGTGTGTGTGTGTGTGTGTGTGTGTGTGTGTGCGCGCATTCCAGTGTCCTGTGCACAGACTTCACATTGTCCCAATGGGAAATATGACCCGAGTATCACTGAGATACAGCTATTGCTTTCAGGAGTGTTACTGTATGTGTGTGTGTGTGTGTGTGTGTGAGAGAGAGAGAGAGAGAGTGTGCCATATGACCTTGGTTAGGGTCAACAGCTGTGTGAGGGTGTGGAGAGAGGGTCTCCATGGCCCAGACAAGAATCCATTCATACACACACACACACACACACACACACACACACACACACACACACACACACACACACACACACACACACACACACACACACACACACACACACACACACACACACACACACACACACACACACACACCTTGCAACATCTGATGAAACTGCTGCTTAATGTCACTTTTAATTTCTCTTAACATCAAAAGTAGGACCCGTGACAGCCCGTGCTGCCCCAGTGTGTGTGTGTGTGTGTGTGTGTGTGTGTGCGCGCATCCGTGTGTTTGATTTTTTTTTTTTTTTTTTAAATGGGTGTGTGCAACATTTTTCTAGGGAAAGGTGTTGTATATCAATGCTTTTATTGAACTTTGCCATATTTCGGGCTCATGAATAGATTCAAATCCCTGCACACATACATGCACCCAAAGGCAAATATGTTTGACATATATTCACATTAATCTCCAGTAACCTTTATTGAAGGCCTCAACACTGTTCAGCTACAAAAACAGTGACTTACTCTTTATATTTTCATCTCTGATTCTCACTCGCTCACCTATTAACACACCAAAACAAATGTTTGTAAAGTTGACCCAATGCAATGCTACGCTATATCAAAGGAACTTATCTCACAGCAGCATGTTTATATTAGTATGGAATAAAAATAAAAAACTAATTGTATTGTTGATCTAGTTTTGCACGCATTTTGATTAGTCTGGTCCATTTGGTCCACAGTAGTGCCAGTCTATTAAATTTTTTGTTTTACTCATACTTGCAATCAAATGTCTCAAACAGTATCTTTCAAAGTTTTAATGCACTAATTTGGCAAACTTCAACATCCAGTTAAAAGGAGAGTTCACTTTGAAATTAATTTTTGGTATGTTTTAGCTTACCTCAAGGGCATCCAAGATGTAGGTGTCTTTGTTTCCGCAGTAGTTTCAATTTTGATATTTTTAGGTCAAACCGTTCTTGTCTGTCAGTCATCTAATGCAGGTCTATGGTCACCACCTCAAAGAGCATGCACAGAGAAGTCCAAATTAAACATGATTTAATGACTCGTAAATGTAAGTACACATTGATGGCCTAAGACACGAAACGAGTGGTTTGTGTGAGAAAACGAACAGTATTTATATCGTTTTTACCTCTTGTAAACACAGCCACGTCCAAGTGATCTGAGGGCGCGGGCGCTTCGGTCTGTGCAAGTGCCGGAAGTGATCTCTCGCACGGTTGCGAATTTTTTTTTACGTTGTCTGTTGATATACCGAAATCGTCTTCCATTGCGATTTCCTGTATATCTAAATATGTTTAGATCTTCACAGTGAAAGGTAAAACTTCCGAAATCTCTGTGTAAACAATGAGTGACGTACACGCGCGAGAGATCACTTCCGGCACTTGCGCAGACCGAAGCGCCCGCGCCCTCAGATCACTTGGACGTGGCTGTGTTTACAAGAGGTAAAAACGATATAAATACTGTTCGTTTTCTCACACAAACCGCTCGTTTCGTGTCTTAGGCCATCAATGTGTACTTACATTTACGAGTCATTAAATCATGTTTAATTTGGACTTCTCTGTGCATGTTCTTTGAGGTGGTGACCATAGACCTGCATTATATGACTGACAGACAAGAACGGTTTGACCTAAAAATATCAAAATTGAAACTACTGTGGAAACAAAGACTCCTACATCTTGGATGCCCTTGAGGTAAGCTAAAACATATCAAATTAATTTCAAAGTGAACTATCCCTTTAAGCTCCCCCTAACTAGAGGAAGTTGTGCGGCAGTCTTGGATTTTTTTTTACTGACACCTGCTGGCGTGGATGTTAGCAAAGTGTTTTTAACCCAGTGTTTTTGTAAAGAAGTTGTTCTTATTCTAGCTTAATGCATTTTTTTCAACACTTTAATGTGTGTGTTTCATTTTGAGCAAAAATCACTTTTTTGTCAGTGTCCGTTGATCAAGTATGAGATAGTAGAGTCTGGCCACTCTCCATTGACAAGCGTCAACGGGTTAGTTCACCCAAAAATAAAAATTCTGTCAGTACTCACCCTCATGTTGTTCCAACCTCGAGTGAGTTCACGTAGTGTAACAGCGCAACGCTTCTGGGTTGTGCGTCACACGCATCACACACATGACCAGCGTCGGCCAATAGTGAGCGTGCATGTGACGTATAAAACAGAAGCGCTGCGCTGTTACACTACGTGAACTCACTCGAGGCCCACAGAGAAGGAAATTAATAGTTGAATAAAGTCGTTATTTTTGTTTGTTTTTTGCGCACAGAAAGTATTCTCGTCGCTTGATAAACTTAAGATTGAGCCGCTGTAGTCACTCAGACTATTTTAACGATGTCTTTAATAACTTTTGGGCCGGCCAGTTTCAATCCCTTAGAAGCCTATGGAGGAGTGATCCAGGTCTCAGATTTAATCAAAAATATCTTAATTTGTGTTCCGAAGATGAACGAAAGTCTTACGGGGTTGGAACAACACGAGGGAAAGTAATTACTGACAGAGTTTACATTTTTAGATGAACTAACCCTTTAAGTTCCTGGAAGGCGGGTCTGGAGATTCGGTTCTCTTTCAGAAGATGTGTAATAGCGCCCCCTACCGTATAACACTGAAATCACGGAAATTTCTTTCAATGGCGGGTGAAAGAGTTAATTGTACAACGCATTGTTGGAGAAATTAAATAGCTCGTCATGACTGTTTCCCGAAACTGTAATCACTTTGTTGCGCATCTGTTCTGTGAACTATGTAGGTTCAACAATAGAACTGATGTTTGTCGTCACATAGATGGTAGAGTAATAACTTCTGCTAAATAAACGGTTTGAGATGGAATTAATGTCAGGTTATTGCTGTAAATAACCAACATTTTCTTGTTTTGCAGGTGTCTGATTTAAACATGGGTTCACTCTTATTCTTTTAATTTAGAACAAAATCAGACCAAATCGAAGTTTGTTTGGTGTACGTTTCGGGAGTTTGAAACAGCTAAACACTAGTTTAACTACTATTGGTCTGTGACAATGACGTAATAGGTAGAGCGGCGTTGGGCTAACAGTAAACCGCTGGTCAAGTACTTCGAACTGAGCAAATAACGGAAAAAAAAACGTTATATTATTTTATAAATAATTTTATATTATTTATATTTTATATTATATTGGGGCCTTTATGAATGTTCACTTCGACTATGTTTACGACTATGTTTATATAGTTGGCTAACTGCGCTTTTGGGAAGCACACCCCTGTTCATCTTGGTGACCACCATAATTGTAGTCTTCATCTCATCTTTAGGGGTAAAATAAGTGCAAAAGGTTACTTTTAAATGTAATTAACAAAGGGGCAGATCGGACAGGTGATAGAGAGAGACAGTCAGACTGGGGGTTTCCCTCGGGGGTGAACATATAGAAACAGACTCCAGTGCTGTTATACACAACATATAATATGACCACACACTCTCACATGTCTCACATTCCACACACACACACACACACACACACACACACACACACACACACACACACACACACACACACACACACACACACACACACACACACACACACACACACACACACACACACACACACAGGCATCTGAGACAGACTTATAAAGCTCTATATTGAGTGAAAGATGGTGACACACAAACCAAAGGAAGTGAACTACAACCACAAACCACAGGACATATTTCTTACCTTGGATAATTTGTGCAGTACTGTGTGTATATGTGGAAGTCTTCACTCTGAAAGACAATAAGGAAATTAGGGTTAGTTACTCAAAGCAAAGGAAGCATATGAAATAATACCGTAATGAAAAATAACGCAGAAAGGGTTGTGTGATGGTGAAGGGACAAGCAACACGCCTCATTTTAAATGCTTTAAAGGGTTAGTTCACCCAAAAATAAACATCCTGTCATCATTTACACACCCGCATGTACTTAAGTGCGTCAAAAAGCACTCTAAAGTTCGGCTAACTACATTGAATACAAATTCAAACTATTATACATTTTCATTTAGTTGCAAGTAAGTGTCCCAAATCATTACATGCCGTTCGCACTTAAATATATTCTTTTAAATACGTTTCATTAATGAATGCTAAAGTGTACTTTTTTCCACGAGGTTATATGGACATTTAGATGGCTATGTCAGTGTGTGTATGTCTGTTTGTGCACACAAGCTTGCTTGCTCTGAAAGGTCACATCAGGATGGTGCGACACACACACACACACACACACACACGGCGGTCGCGGTGACTGTAATAAGAGTCCTGATGTTATGTTTACAGTAATGCTAGATGTGAGCGTGCTCTGATTAAATCTCTCTCTTCTCCTCCTTCATCTGGAGTCTTTTGCTCTCTCATTCTGCCTATATGAACATCAAAGAACTTGGAAAAGTACAGAGAGTCTGAGTATCAAAGAGCCGTTTATCCTCTTCCTCTAATATCCCGTCTCTCGCCTCCCCCGCTAGCTTTCACATCTGCCCTCTCTCTCCCCGTACACACACACACACACACACACACACACACACACACACACACACACACGCACACACACACACACACACACACACACACACACACACACACACACACACACACACACACACACACACACACACACACACACACACACACACACACACACACACACAGAAACAGACACAGACACAGACACAGACACAGACACAGACACAGACACAGACACACACACACACACACACACACACACACAGCTTTATAAGTGAATGTGTCCTTGCATAAATGCTGTGACCCAAGTGGAAAGTTCTCCTTGGGAAAATGTCTAAATTTTCTCCTGTTTTCTAAAGTCTGGAACCACAATCAGATGTGCTCACTGTTTGACAATGCTAGTTGTACACGTGTGCTACAATATCAATATTACTGTAATGGTCAACTTAGTTTCGTCTCAAAGCTGTTACTGTATCATGCATTTTGGTGTGAAAGGGACACTGCATTGACAATCACAACGCATTCTCATCCCAAAGCGTAATATATTGACTCTTTTGACAAAGCGTCTATATCCAACGCACATGGCACCCTTTAGCGTCAATATAACGAGTAGTATGAAGCTGCAGACTCGGAGACCTGCATCTACAGTCCCCCCGCACCCAGAGTCCCGCATGCTCAGACCCCACGTTTTTCGAGACAGCGCCTCCTATCAAATTGTATCGGATAAACATGTGAAGAACATGTGAAGAACTTAAGCCAAAACGCGAGTAGGCTATCTTCAATTTTATTTAGCGAATCGTAGTAGCCTACTCGTTTGATTTATTTTTTAATAAAACTAATTTAGCTCATCGATACAACATATGAATAGTCCATTTAATATTTGTAAAGATAGTTTGCAACAAGATTTGAGCCGTTAATGTATGTCCGAACCCAGCAACATATCATTTTATGATTTGAGAAATACACTGAGTCAGCGTTTGTCCTTAACAGAGAGAGAGAGAGAGAGAGAGAGAGAGAGAGAGAGAGAGAGAGAGAGAGAGAGAGAGAGAGAGAGAGAGAGAGAGAGAGAGAGAGAGAGAGAGAGAGAGAGAGAGAGAGAGAGAGAGAGAGAGAGAGAGCAAGGACAGTGTTCTCAAGGAAGCTTTGATAGGGATCAGATGTAATAAAACCCCTCACTTTTACTGGAATCCTGAAGCTCCTTTGTGATATCAATACCACAAAACTGAGTAATGCCACACACACACACACACACACATGGTTGGAAGTATTTGCTGATGATGACTAACCTTTATCAAGAGGACTGACCAATACGCACAAGCCAAGCTTTTTTTTTATATATACCTGATTTAACCTATAAAAGTTTTTATAAATGAATGTGTTATGTTGATCAGCGATATTAACCCTTTCACACATAGAGGTCACTACTGTGGAAAGCTATAAAGCATTTTCTTGCATATGCATGGGTGCTGATGGCATATCTGCACAGTAACCTCTACAGTGACCCTGTGCATCATCCTATACATCGCCACCAAGTGGCAAGACGTTGTATGTACTGTAGATGTTTTCCCCTCTGAACCAAAATGGCCAAAGGAAATGCCAAGCTGCTCTGGGATATCCATCCATCCTAGGAGAGACTCTTGCAGGTAAAATAAAAAATGTTGAAGCATCAAGAAATATCTAGTGAGTCATATCACAGTAAAATTTTACAAGTATTGATTTTAGATTTGGAGCAAATTCTGATTAATCCTCTGTCCACTAAATTGGGCATCATGCAGGCTTTCACCGTAAGTCGACTTGCGTACGGCCGTCTGCCAGAAGAAAGTTATTTTAGTCGATTTTTTTTTTGAATATGGATTTTTTTCTTACACAAACGCATCACTTCACTTCAGAAGGCCTTTATTAACCCCAGGAGCGGTGTTGAGCTTTGATGGACTTCCAAAGACAGACAGCCATTCACTGCAATTTTAAAGCTTGGAAGAGCCAGGACATTTTTGAATATAACATACATAATATACCCCCAAGCCCAAGACACCCCCAACCCCCAGTGCAAAACAGCTTAAACACAACTAAAAATAGTTCATTGTTGTTATTAAAACCAAAACTACTAAAAATAGTTTTCGGTAATTAAAATAAAATAAAATAAAATAAAATAAAATAAAATAAAATAAAATAAAATAAAATAAAATAAAATAAAATAAAATAAAATAAAATAAAACAATGTTAGATAAAACACATAAACGTAATTTAACATTCGAAATATTGGCTTGTTGGCAACTAACTGAAATAAGTTTACACTGAATTACTAAAACAAAAACTGAAATAAAAATAAATCCAAACTATGGAAAAGAAAATTGATAATATAGAAAACAAAGCTTTGCGGAAAACTCAAAAGTATTAATGAATATTTATATAAACAGTATAAATAATACTAAATTAACACGGGTATAGTTTAGACTATAATTTCTGATTGGATGAACAACTTTAGATGAATTTTTGTGGTATTCCTCTTGGATAAAATGTCATCATATACCGTATTTCTAATAAATACAACAGTTACATCTACACAATTCAAGGACAAATGTTCATGTAATAAATGAATTGATGTTTTTATATTTACATTCTAGACCTAGTTAATTCTCTTAATTATTAAATGCTCTTCAAAAATCAACTCCAGGTGACAAATATTGAAACACTTTTTCATCCATTGTAAACATACATATGCACAGATTTAGGTTCATTTTATAAACTAAGAGCCATATTAGTTAATTGGCGTTGTTCATAAATATCATATTTTGATGTTCTGATTTCAAGTTTGTCAGCAAAATACACACTTAAGTAATAACCAGTTACAAACACTGACCACAAAGTGTGTGTCTGAGTGAAAGCCTGTGTTAGCGTATCGAGAGTCAATCAGTGTATCTCTCTGGTGTTTCTCACACAGTGTTTCCTGAGCATACACCCTTACAGCCAGTGCAAGCAGACGTCTGAAGGCAGTGTGGCACTCGGGCTGGTCTGGGTGTGTGGGTTTTAGGCTTTATCTTAGTTCTCGTAAGCCTCAGTCGTTTGCACTGTGTAAATTGTCAGCCCCCTGCTAACGCCACATTAGCACAACAATAACCCGAACAAAACAAAGCAATTATCACACAAAACCACAGGAAAGAAAACCACAGACACCAGTTGCATTCCAGTTAAATAGAGCTATAAAACAGCTAAAACATACTCAAGTATGTGTTATTATGCCAGTCAATAGAGACACTTGAGGTAGGAAACTTATTCTAACACGTAATAGGCATGACCGAGTTGATGGTTGTTTATCTGTGCGACCATGTGATCGTTTTGAGCATGATAGTGCGAGCATTCTTCATAATTTTTCATTTGAGTTGCATGAAAGAAAAAAAAGTCTTAAATAAAAGTGTATATTAACCCGAGTGTGACTTTTGAGTGATCTAAGCTTTAAGGTTTGTCTGTGTGAAGAAAAGATGAGAGTTTTACCTTGGCTACGAAACACTTTGCAATGGCAACTGGGTTGGCGTTACACTTCTCCAGGTCATGAAGCAGATCACTAAAACACACACACACACACACACACATTGGTTATATATCATTACTCACATCCACGTAGCCGGACTGAGCCGTTATAAAACTAACTATTCAGTAATGCTCTGTATTGTAGGCCATGAACTGTGAAGGAAAGACCCACTTCCGTGAATTGAACAGCATTGTGAATGCATGTGTGGTCACTTCTGCATTGCAGTCATATGAAGTAACACTGTGAGTGTGAGTGTGTGTGGGCTGAATTTGGAGAGAGTCTGGCAAAATGTGCAGGTGTGTGTGTGTGTGGTCCGAAGTGAGAGGAACTGAGGGAAGAGATGGCAGCAAATACAACAGACAGTCTGAAACAGAAGATCTTCCCTCAACGGGCTTTAAGGACACTTTCTCTGAATACGGTACAAAGCCACTGCACACACGACACTCCTAAAACAAGCCATGTTGTTCAGTTTTGTAAAATGGTGTTTAACCTTCAATGGAATCAATGAGATGTTTAACCTTCGTCAACCTCAGGGGGGCAAACTGTTATACAAGGTGTATATTATTATATATTGAGTTACCAACTTAACTTAAAGTTACCAAATGAGGGACATTGTGTACATACACATCTAATCATTTAAAACTAGTAGTTCTACCAATACACATTAAACAAACATCAGAATAAAACAGACCAAATTAAAATTAAATAAAAAAAACTATACCAGACTGAATGTGTTTGCAAGTAACAGGGTTGTAAATGTATCTTAGATATTCACTGCTTTGGGATTAAATGTTGACTTGTAGTTTCTGATAAACATACATTTTCCATGAAATTCACAAAATAAAAAGAGTTTGAAATCATTTAATGAGTTAATAACCTAATGTAAAAAATAATTTACTGAATGTTATGAGGTAACAGGACTGTGCATATCTAAATGTTTGCTCATTCAATTTAGTTTGTAAGAGGGAATTAATCGAATAGCAAATGATTCAATTATTATTTTCATTCAAATTGTGACACGGTTGTATGATTTTAATTGTTGGAAATGATAAGAACCTGTTGTGGACCAGACCAAAAAACACCATATTAAGCTGGCAAGGTAGTTTAAGTGTGTGGACAGAATAGTTTACCTAAAAAATTGTGCCTTTTTTAAAGCCTAATAGTTCATGTTCAAGTGGCAAACACCCATTACTCGTCTCTAAACAGATGCGTTCGCCACTAAAACTAGCAGATGTGTACCTGTTAAAACGGTAGATGTCACGGATGTTTCCAAATAAAGAGTTCCTCTCTTCATCTCCCAGCAGCAGAAGAGACTGGTTGCTGATGCAGTCCAGGTAATCCTGTGGAGAAACGGATGAAAGCATGAGTAATCTCATCAGTGGTCATGTGAGATGGGCCCCCCCCCCCCCCCCTCTTCAGGGTTTGCCGTATTTAGACAGACCTGCTTCATCTCTCACATCTGACATTAACATTTGCCCATCAGTAGATTAGCTATGTCCGCAAGTTATGTAAAGGACTTGGGGAGCGACACTTTGATGCACATTGTAAGCATCAAAGAATGGTATTTGCCATTTCCATTATGCAAATTATACTATGGCCGGCACAGTGAACTTTTGAATGATCTGTGGAATCTTCTTACGGAAATGTACCTTTATTCAAAGCAAAGTTTCCTCCTACTGACAGAATTTACATTAATCCTTTAATTCATGGCCACAATATCCATTTCTTCCCATAAATACTGTACTTCAAAACCCAAATGCAAAGCATTGGCTGAGACAGTATTGTTACCTCCCGTCCAAAAAGGCAGAAGCTGCATTTGGTGATACTAGTGATACAGAAAATAAACACCACCTTTAAGTTACTCAAAGAGGCTTTCATACACTAGTTTTTTGAATGATGAACATAGACTACTGATACCCGCTGATATAGACAGTTGTTTCCTTATACACAGGCGCAGAACGCAAGTGTTAGTTGACAGTCGTGCATTCAGCTTTTGTCGCCACTAGCTCTTTTAAGTCGGCTTGGTGTGTCATGGCCTTAAGGATGGAGGAAAACACTGTATGAACTACAGAAGCCCCCAGTGAGCTCTCACAAAAAATATATAAGCAAACAAAGCATGTCAGAATCTGTATTTGTGCTGTATCTTCTGCTCCGCCCTACATGCGAATGTCTCTCTCTTCGGATGACAGACGAGATAAGTGATTCTTTCAGTCAGATACAAATCTTTACCTGAACACCCCCAGGCAGTGTAAAACAATCATTCTGTGTCTACTCTACAACACACACCCTGTGTCAACACCTCGCCGTCAACACCCCGCTCACACATAAACACAGACCTAGAGGATTGTTTCATTTTGAAAACTGAGAAATAATGTGATGCTGTCACCCCAGGAGGATAAAAAAATAATAATAATTTGTGTTTATTTCAGTTTTAGTAATTTTAGTACTTTAACTTGTTTTATTTCAGAGAGTTGCCAAGGCAACATTTCTAACTTTTCATCCAATATGTATATTTTATTTCATTCATTTCATTTCAGCTGTATTTCAATTATAGAAAACGGTATTAAAAATAATTTTAGCTTAAGTTTAAGTAACAATAACAACACTTACACTTACACAACATTTGCATGCTAACTTTGCGGTCAGATTAAGAGAATCATTGCGATAAAATATGCTCACAATTTTACATTTCTTTTGCAAAAAGGGAGCAAAAATCTGCACATTAGATATAAACATGGTAAAACTTGTTAAACCAGGGGTCTTCAGCTGAGGATCCGTGATTTCTTGGGGTCCATTGTGGTACTGCGGGGGTGCACCAATTATTGTTGGATCTCAAACTAATTTTAAGTTCAATTCAGCCAAAGCTAAAATTCAGCTAAATGTTTCAGTGTCCATCACTCATTAACAAAAGTAAATTAAGTAAGATTACAATGTTAGGGGTTCCAGTGTGAAGAATTCTACATTCCTATTTCTAAAAGAAAACATCATTAAATGACATAAAATATGTATTAATTTTAATAGCAGTCTGATATGTTAGCAGAACAGTTGCTTTTAAAGTTGTTTTCCTAACCTACTTTCCTCTACTTTATCTGTCCTCTCCATCCATCCTGCCTGCTTTCCTTTTGTTCCATTCTGTCCTCGAACCATCTATCATTCTCTCAGTGCCAGGGGGCCGGTGAATGTGTGTGTGTGTAGAGGAGTAGGTGGGGAAGGGGTTTGCAACCCCCTAAAACTCTCCATCCTCACATTAACCGAGAAAGAGTGAGAAAATCAGGGCAAGGGTGAGAAGAAGAGTTTAGCATTCATCTCCTCGCTCTCTAGGTCAAATGACAGCCATGTGCACTTTACATTTGACAGCTATATCAATCATACACAAAGAAACACACACACTCTTACTCAAACAGCTCCAGTACTCATGCTTTATGGGGATTGCCTGCATGCTTAAGGACAAAGGTTCAAGGTTTGATCCCAAGTATATGAGAAACCCACACACTGGACAGTTACTACCGTTTGTATCCTTGAGCAAGGTACTTGCAAGAAATAGTTCACCCAAAACTAAATGTTATATCATCATTTACTCGCCATCCTGTCATAAAATAAATATGCATGACTTTCTTCCATTGAACACAAAAGGAAATGTTACAGATGCTACCAAGCTCTCAAACAACGTACAAATGTGCTATAATTCAAAGAACTGAACTTTATCAAGACGTGTCGAACAAGGTCATGTTAGTGACACCAAATGGCATTTGTTATTGCATATACATACATATGCACAACACTGCAAGTTTGAAGGATGACTTGTTTAGACCTTTCCTTCTTGCAGCTTGACAGTGTGAATAACCATCCGCTTGCAATGCGTGGAAAGAGCAGCGTGAAACATCTTTAAAAGTTCTCCTATTGTGTTCCACTTCCACAGGACAAAAAAAGTCTTACGATTTGGAAAAAAACATATTAATGGATAAATCTGGTCAATGAAATTACTGAAAAAAGTGTTTGTTCATTCAATCGGTAACGAAGCAAGTGGATGTATTCATGATTGGGTCATTGAATCGATCCATTCAAAGCCGCAGATTCGCTTACGAAACACCGCTGTGTGTTGCAGTTCCGCTGTGGCTTTCATTACAACTATTATTTCATTGTAAAAATTGACCCTTCGCATGGAGCTTGATTGACAGGTGATCTGACCAATCATACTTCGCCATCCGCCATTTTGTCCGACAAAGCAGTCAGGAGAGTTAGTAGATTAACATGGGAGGATTTGAACTGATGCCGTTCTGCGGTTAAAACAACATTCCTTCTGATGTTCATTCATGTTTATTTGATGCTATAAATGAACTAGAAGGAAGAGATGATCGGATCACGAGCAGCTTTAACTGATGCTCTACAGCGATCTGTCACGACACATTAGAGAGCCACAAAACGGTATTTATTGTTTAAATAAAAAAAAGTGTCCAAGTTTGAAAGGTAAGACTTTGTTTAATATGTTTAATATCAAAAGTAACCGAAAAGTACCCTGGTCTGTCCTGTCTGTCAGCGTGTTGTCAGTCCGCGATGTATTTTTCACTGCGTGAGAAAATGGTGTGTGTGTGTGTGTGAGCAGCGTAGCTTGTCGGACATAGCGACAGTAACTAAGGGGGGCGGGTCTTTGCAAACGGTCAATTGAGCAAACTGTACGGCCAATACTGTGTTTGCAATGTACGCCACTTAATATTACCTTTTGGTTTGTTGAGATGTTGTATAAAATCAATGTCACATTTGCAATCGTGTTGATATTCGGGAAACATTGCTTTTTGCCTGTTAGGTGGAGTAGAATTAAATGAATGGCAAAACAAAGCATTTTGTCCGCATACCCACTCTGTTACCTCACGTACACCAGTCTGGGAACCACTGCTATATAGTCAGGCGAAAAACAGTATGTGACGAAAGAAGTATGTCCCTATTCATAGTATTTATAAAACAGTAGGTGACAAGTAGCCACATAACGTACTACTTCCGGCGAGTGCGCACGTTACTTTCCCCTCACTGTCCCATGAGGCCACAGGAGAGGATTAGTGAATGCAGTGAAGCGGCGCAACTGACGCTGGTAGGTCACATAACAATGACAACGTGGCAAATGTACGGCAGTATGTCTGAATTTCACATCACATTGTACATACTACGGACATTCATACTATATAGAACATACTTTTTAATGGTCAAAGTTTCAAACCAAATGTAGTGCTTATTATACAGTATTCGACTTCGGATGTCTTTCATACCTGGACTATACTGCGAAGGTCCTGGACGTAGGTTTTTTCCGTTTCAAGAATTTCCTCCACCACTCGGTCCACATACTGGACTTTACGTCCTTCTGGTGACTGAATCTCCGCGTCCCCCTGATTGGTGGGTGTAGGTGTCTGTCTTCCTGACTCCTCCTCCTCCAGCTGTCGGGCTGGCACCAGCTCCAATCGGATGGCTCCAGAATCATGATCCCGCTCAGGGGTGGAGCCTAATACGGGCCGCCCCCCCAGCGAGCAGTGACTGTCCCGGGAGGAGGCGGACGAAGACGTGGAGCCGTAGCTCACCGGCCGGTCGTTGCAGTGCGTGGAGTCCATGCTGCGTGAGGAGCAATGTCTCGGGGCAGAGTTTCTGATGGGACCTCCCGCCTGGCTCAGGACCGGCCCTCCAACAGGGACCTCCGGGAGTGGCGGTAAAACATCAGTGGAGAATGGATAATCTTCTGAAAGATAAAAAGCCCAAAGTGGTTAGACGATATTAAAGGAAATTGCAATTTGCCATATCTTGTTAAATAATGCGATGTGATAATTCGTCAACACTTCATTAGTTAACATTAGTTAACAGCATTTATTAATATTAGCTAATATTAATTTCAACATTTACTAACATTATATTAAAATCAAAGGTTGTATTTTTTAACATTAGTCAATGCACTGTGAACAAACATGAACAAACAATGGACTGTATTTTTATTAACTAACATTAACAAAGATGAATAAATACTGTAACAAATGTATTGCTCATGATTTGTTCATGTTAGTTAATAGATACTAATGAACCTTATTGCAAAGTGTTACCAATAATTCTTTAAGTGTGCAAAATTAATTTTAATTATATTTAAATAGGTTTAATTATATAATCAACATGCACATTTCACATTCTTTCTGGGAAAGCATCACTACAACTTCTGAGAGTGAACCGCAACATTTACTGTAGCATTGCATACAAAGTAATGTCACAAATCAGACAATGTCATTCATTCTGAAAACACACAAAAACTACAACCCCAAAACCCACCCACTGCAATTACATATTTGATTCCCACAGAGATATATATCTCAAGAAGGAACTTACACAAAAACATCCTGTGAAAAACCCACATCAATCTAGCATTTCTGTGTGGTAATACACACACTCAACCATTTTGGGTTTGTTTTTCTGACAACAATGCTCTTACAACATGAGGAGAAAGCTACACTTTAACATTATCTCAGACTGAGATGTAACACACCAGAGTGGACACTTGGTGTTGTGGGTGCTTCGATGTGCTTGCTAATGAGTTTTAGCATAATGCTAGGTGATTGCTTGGGCATTTTGGGCTGTTGCAAGAAAGGGACTCAAATCTAGAGACCAGATATCTTGTGGGTGACTAAAGGCTGGAATTGGGGCAGTGAGCAACACCCTAGAAACCACGCAAAAGACATTAGCAAGCGCATAACAACCCCCACAACATCTTAGCATTAATGCTTTGATCAGCGTTAAGGGATTAGGGGTTGAATTGTGGTGGAGAGTAGCATAGCAAGAACCATTCGCATTTTCTCAAGAAAATTGTCAAACTCAAGTGTTTATTTTATTTCGTTTTATGAGCTTTTACTGCCATAGAGTTTTTCCATGTGTCTCTGGTGTTGGGCATGATTCAGATGTGTCTTAAAACAGCAGTTGACAGGCACTCACCACATCACTTCAAGTGAATTACCATGAGAACACACACATGAACACACACACACACACACACACATGCAGAGCCTTTCATACAAGAGAAAGGCCAGCACTGAAAGAGAGAGGCTTTAATGAGCAGATTAACGTGTAATGGAGACATTTTACTTTCTGGGTGAAATGAAAGAGAGCTCTGTGTGACCGTGTGTGTGTGACCGTGTGTGTGTGTGTGTGTGTGCACGTGTGTGGTTGTGGACTGTCTATTCTCAGACTCACTAACACAACACTGTAAGACCATCCAGACGCACCCACTCCACACACACTAGCACAGGTGTGCACACACAATCAACTCAGTGTAACATGGTCATTTTTACACTCCGTTGACACAATAGGTAAACTACAGCAGTGGAAAGGGGTAATATATACTGTATATATGGGACAAAGTGAAGTGTTGAATAACAATATTTCATTCAATTCGCACCAAATCGCTTCATGGAAGCCAGTCGAATGCAACAAGTAATCGCTCTCCGACAACAAAACCATATAAAGGGATTCCAGGGAATTTAAGACTTTCTTTTTGTCTTGCAGTCAACCACATGTCTCCTTCTCAGTTGCCAGTTATGAATAATCACCGTCATTACTCACTCAACACGGAGCCATCTCTATTATCCAGGGCTCCAGAAAAAAAGCCACATGATTGGCTCTTGATTGTCTAAGCAAGCTTCTGATTGGTTAATTCCTGTGCATGCCACACTCACACACGGACCCACTTTCACTAGACAAACAAACACAAAATGAGATGCGGCCACCAACAAACACAATCTCAAGTAAATGCATATGCTTGTGTGTTGCATGCTTACTGCAGTTTGAACTATTGGAAATGTACATGAATGTGTCTGTATATGTCAAAGCCCGTGCATGCATCGGGTTCACTGCTGGTTGTGTGTTTTGGTGGGTGGGGTCATGTTCAAGTAAAACAAACTTCTGTGGGTGTGTTTGTACACTTTTCATGCACGAGTCTGTCTATTGAATGCTGTTTATTTTAGTTTGTTGTGAAACTTACATTACTTTATTTGTACAAAACTTATATGCAATGTTTCACCAATGAAAACACAAAAAGTCAGCACACAGTTGCTTCCAAATATGCAATCACAAACATGCCATTTCAGACAGTGCTGGTCTGGGGTCTGTGGACAGCTTGAGATTTCACAAAATGTATGAACTTTTCTGGAACTATATTTATCATAAAAAGCATTATACAATACAGTATAATTGTTGCTGTCAATTGAATGCTGTCAATTGAACTGAAAATGCTACAAATAAGTAATTTACAAATAAGATTAAGAAAGACACCCTTGCGAAAAATAAATGCACTTCTTTATGAATTGAATGTGCACTTGATAACACATGCGTAATTACACAAATATTTAAATACATGACATAAAAGTTTCCATAGAAATGACATTAAATCGTATTGTGCTTGTCAGTACATTTAGCGGTACACTTTATCTATATATTCACTTTGCTTGCTGAATTTACTTAATTATTTTAAAGTATGTTATTTCCATAATAAGTACTCTTTAAATGAATGCTAAAGTGCACTATTCATAATTTCCACTACTTAAAATAATTAGCTCTTTGCTAAGTCCATTATTTCATTTAGCAAACACACATTATCTTCATTTTATAACTGAAAACATATTAATGCATTAATTAACATTTCGGGGTAAACTAAATCAAACATGTTCTAGATCAGAAGAAAGATGTACTAAAAGGGCACAATGTAAAATTGTTCATAAATTTGACACCAGCAACTATCACAAACATCAGTGAATGACACTAGATGTCTTGCAATGTTTACATTTAACATTTGAACACACAATGATGCATTCATCATTAAAAACAATTTAATCTCATTCTGTTTTAAGTGATTCCTATGGAAGCTTGTTTCCGCCACTGAATTTAAAAAATAATAATAATAATTGCGACTTTTTATCTCACAATTGCGAGATATGAAGTCAGAATTGTGACAAATAGTCGCAATTGCGAGACATAAAGTCGCAATTCTGGGAAATAAAGTCGCAATTGCGAGAAAAAAAGACAGAATTGCGACTTTTTATCTCACAATTCTGACTTTTTTTCTCACAATTGCTAGTTTACATCTCGCAATTCTGACTTTATAACACATAATTGCGAGTTTATATCTCGAAATTCTAACATCTTTTCTCAGAATTGTGAGATATAAACTTTTTTCCTCTCACAATAGTTTATCTCACAATTCTGACTTTAGACACGCAATTGTGACTTTATATCAATCAATTCTGACTTTATATCTCGCAATTCTGACTTTATATCTCGCAATTCTGACTTTATAACACGCAATTCTGACTTTATTTCACGCAATTCTGACTTTATATCTCGCAATTCTGACTTTATATCTCGCAATTCTGACTTTATATCTCGCAATTCTGACTTTATATCTCGCAATTCTGACTTTATATCACGCAATTCTGACTTTATATCACGCAATTCTGACTTTATATCACGCAATTCTGACTTTATATCACGCAATTCTGACTTTATATCTCAAAATTCTGACTTTATATCTCGCAATTCTGACTTTATATCACGCAATTCTGACTTTATATCTCGCAATTCTGACTTTATATCTCAAAATTCTGACTTTATATCTCGCAATTCTGACTTTATATCTCGCAATTCTGACTTTATATCTCACAATTCTGACTTTATATCTCGCAATTCTGACTTTATATCTCGCAATTCTGACTTTATATCACGCAATTCTGACTTTATATCTCGCAATTCTGAGAAATAAAGTCAGAATTGTGAGATAAAAAGTCGCAATTACCTTTTTTATTTTTCATTCTGTGGCGGAAACAAGCTTCCATAGATTCAACTGCTACCATCAAGAGTGAAATACCTACACTAACATATTCATTAACAGATGCAATTTTCAAAATTAAAATCGGTGTTAGCACAGATGATGGTTATTTCTGTGCTTATGTTATGGATTGGTTTACTGCCTTTATATCATAATGCAGTCGGATGTTAGTCAGTTAGGGTTCTTGCTCTTCTTTTGGGCCACAAAATGTGTCCATTTTCTAAAGCAAGTTTGATTTAGTTTACCCCGAAATGTTAATTAATGCATTAATTAACAAGCATGTACTAACGTGTAGTTAAGATGGTATATTTATGCAGGAATTCATATGACTCATGTCGTAGTTAAGGTTAGTTCCTCACTAGTACATGTCTTAACTCATCATTAGTTCATAGTAAAGTAATTATTAATTCAGGTATTAGTACATGATTATTCATGTACTATTATTGTAAAGTGTTACCCTGAAAACATATGAGAGACTGAGTGTCTGGGCTGTGTCAACCACTGAGGCATCATGGCACAAATTAAAATAGTTCAGTCTAATTATTAAATCAGTCACTTATGAGGTTCAGTTTCAGTTGGGATATATAGTTATAGTTGGCATAGACCAGTTTTTTTTTTGGAGTGATAATGACAACTATTATAACTAAAATAGCCACTATGTTATAACAGTCAAGTCATTCTTACTTTTCGGATTCAAATGAAACCTCTACCTTTTTATGTAATCGAGTTATGACCAGTCATAAAAAGAGATTACTAACTTCACTTCCTTCCAGCGTGATGTGGATGCCATACCCCTTTCTGTTTTCAACAGTCCAGACTTTTACCAGCTCATCATGCTCATATAATGAATACTACAGGCTGCTGTAGTTCATATATATATTGAA